TTTATATTGTTTAGTCTGTTACATTTTTTATCAATAATTTTACAATTTTTTTTTAATTTTATTTTTCAATTTTTTAAATTTCACCCATAATTTTGCATTGTTTATATTTTTTCAAATTTTTTTTTATTTTCCAGGGTTGTCGATTTTATTAACATCATGAGTTACGACTACCACACCGCAGACCAGCCCCAAACGGGCCTAAACGCCCCCCTTTATGGCTCCGAAAGTGTGGACACCTCCGTCCAGAGTTGGCTCAGTGGGGGGGCCTCAGCCTCGAAAGTCACCCTAAGTGTCCCCTTTTACGGCCACTCCTGGTCCCTCCAATCGGCAAGCAACCACGACGTGGGGGCCCCCGCCACCACCGGAATCGCCGGACCCTTCACCCAAAGTCCCGGAGTCTTGGGCTTCAACGAAGTATTAACAATTCTCCCATTTTTTTCCTCCTGAAAAACCCATTTTTTCAGATTTGCTCATATTACAGCGACTGGACCCGAGTTTGGGTGGACGAAGCCCAGGTGCCTTACAGGTACGATGGGTCCAATTGGGTTAGTTACGACGATGAGGAGTCCATCGGTTTGAAGGTGATTTGATGGGTTTTTGGGCCAGTTTTGGGTCATTTTTTGGGTTCTAGGCCAAATATGCCAAGGATAATGGGTTGGCTGGGGTTGCGGTTTGGTCCCTTGACACTGATGATTTTCATGGGTCTTGTGGGACTAAGGATGCCCTGTTGAAAGCCATCAAGGATAATATTGATTAAATAAATTGTAAATTGGGTTGAATAAAGTGATTTTTTTGAGGTTGGGGTTTTATTAGGTGCACTAGAGATAAGAATTGAGATAAGATAAGGGTTTTTGTTGACGTGATGATTCGATCAGTGATTAATTGAGAAAGAAATTATTTTTAGCAATTCTTAAAACACTTGAAATTTAAGGTTTTTGGATTAAAAATAATTCAGAAAATTTAAGATTAAATGACTGAAAAAAGTAGTAAATAATACTAATGTGTTATAAACAACAATTTCTCTTAAAGTTTCTATGAATCTCTCGAAAATAAAGGTGAAAAATAAAAAATAGTACGTAAAATAACTACTTTATGTACTATTTATTGAGTTTAAAAACACTAACTTTTAGTGATTTAAATAGTGTATACAAAAAATTTTATTAAGAAATTCCTTGTCACTATTTAAAAAAAATTATGATTACATAAATAAATATCTACAGCAATTTGATTTTGAAAGTAGTGTTTTTTTGGTCAACTTAATATGAAATAAAAAAATTGTAAAAATAAAATATTATCTAGACGCCGAAAAAATACAGAAACTATTTTTTGATCAAGTATTTTAAATTACTAAAAAATTTATATAATTTTTTTGTAAATACACAATTTTCAAGAAAAGTTGTAGTTTTATTTACTTATTTTTTAATTTTTTAAATATTTTTCTCACAGTGATTTCTTAATTGACAAATTTGTTGCTTTAATGACAATTTTTTATCTTTTTTTTCATTTACGTTTCATTAGCTTGTTAGTGCATCTTATTTTTTAGTTATAATTTAATTTTTGATTGTTAATATATTTATTTTGTGTTATCGTTAAGAGATTTTACAAACAATTTAGAATTTTAATCTATCAAAAACCAAGTTTTAAGTTTTTCGTTTTTTTTCTGTTATCGGATTATCGCCTTTAGACTACTTGTAATTCCCAAAAAACTTAGATAAATTTTAACAAATTGTGATAAATATTTAACGTCACTTAATTGAAATACTTTTATCTTAAATCGATGAAAACATGTCTAAGCATCAAATTTGACGACCCCCTGCAAAGCCCTCGAGATAGCCAAAAATAACCTCTTAATCAAATTTCTAAAACAATTAAAAGTTTCAGAAATTAGCTGAAATATAAAAAATTAAAAAATTGATAAACATAAAAATCACAAACTTGTCTCGTTTTTCGAAAAATTTAAGAATTTTAAATGTACGTATAAATTTTCAATGATAATAAAAATAGAAAAAAACAAAAAGATGACTGGCGATGATTTAAAAAAATCTTCAAAAATATCAAAATATCGAACAAAAAT